CCTGTACTGGTCTGGTGACCTTCTCCAATTTCTAACAGAATTGGTTTTCTGTTCACTATTGTACAGAACTGGTTCCGTGGTTTTCTGAACTAGACACCTGATTATTAATACAGAACATTTCTGGGCATGTACAGTACATCCACCTACAGTCATACCAGGAGCAACCAGGTGATCTTCATTAATCAAGCAGGGCATTGCCAGATCATTTGCCAGTCTTGCATTAAGAACATGTCATTCTTGTTTTTTGTTTGTTTATACAAATTGGTAAAGAACTTACTTTGCAATTTTATTTTCACTTTGTTCCTGGCAATTTTATGAAACCACAAACTTAGTATTTTGGTATCCCAGGGAACAATACTTCTAAAACATATCTCGATTGTGTTTTCATTGTGAATCACTAGATATACCTATAAAAATAAGGTGAGATTGGAACTGCCTCTCCAGCCTGTTGTTAAATGTCTAGTAGTAAGAAACATAACAGATCTTTTTTTTTAAGTTGTCTAAATCTAAATCCAATAATCATTTGTTGAAAAAAAAAAGAAATTGAAGTTCTACACCTGGCTTACAGTATTCAAAAGTCATTTAATACATTGCAATAAACTACAATAACAGTCACAACAACTAATTTTTTAAAAATATATTTGAAAGTACTTTACTTCACTTGTCACAAAAAGTGTTTTCATGTTGAAAAGGGATTGAAAAAGGAAAGGGGATTATGTTTAAAACTTAATAAAGTGTTTTCACTGCTGAATAGATATTGATAATATCAAGTGAAACATCTGATTTGTACATTTCAAAATAATGCCCTTTTATACAAGTAACCACAGTTGAAAACTGTCAGTTCGTAATTAAAAAAAGAAACACTTTGAGGCATCTTTTTGATAAGCATCTCATTTTCTGACAGAAAGTTTCAATGGGGGTGTGTGGATAGACAACATTTTATTCTCACATTTTACAAAGATACCGGGTTTAGAATGCGTAGGAACATGTCTGAATCTGTCAGATTAAGCATAGATGCATATCACATCTGCATTTTTGAAGTACCTGACACAGACTTCTGGTATTACAGTTTATCTTTGTCATTTGAATATAACTGGATGGACAAGAAAATACAATTTGCAGCTTTGACATTCCTAAAGGGAACAAAATGTACAGAATGTACTGTGGATTTGAAAGTGAAGGAAAAGAGAAAGACTAGATAACAAAATACATTTAGTGTAAGCAATAAGGGCAATAACCTTTACCTACTGGCCTGTGTGATAAGGACATCAAAATAATAACTCATGAGAGTTCCCAAGAACTCAATCTATCAGATAACTATCAATCTAACAGTAGTAAATGACAATTAGTGCTTTGTGCATGGAAATGAAGAACACATCTACAAGCACATGGAATTAGATAGGCTCACCTATTAACAGTTATTGAAAGCTTTGTAATGTTAACTATTGGTAAACAATGTGTTGAATACTTACTCCACTCTTTATATAAGAAGTTGGTCGGTACATACCACTTAACCACAAATAAAGGTGAATCGCGAATAATAAACAAAGGTTTTCACCTAGTAAAAGTGTTCACAATTCTGAGAATAGGGTGCAGGCATTTTGACAGGAAAGATTGATGAGGTGTAAGGCAGAACTAACCACAATGCCACAGTGCCAAACCTAGTGTATGTATTATTTATTTAGTTGCTTCATGTCTTTGTATTATCTTTTTGTTTTGCTCACTCATACATTGCATTGTCTGTCATTGTCATTGTAAGATATTGTAACGCTTACGGCCGACAAGCACTGTGTGTAAGAGCCGGCGTACCAGAGCGGGTGACGTCACCGCCCTTCCCTGTGATAGCAGGACTACAGCTACTGGGCTGTAGCGAGATCTCTCTTTAGCTCACGGGGCTGGGTCGCTGCAGAAAGACGCGGAAGTCCCGGGTTCGAGCCCCCGACGGTGCAGGGGCCGACCAGATGCGGCAAGGGCGCCCGCCTGAGCCCCCGTTGCGTTACAATATTATTACATATATTACTATTATTTACTGTTACATTGGGGGAAAGTCCATATGTCTGACGTTTAAGACAATAGACACACACCTCTATCTCAGGCAGGAAGCATCCTATATACTGTATGAAGAAGCTGTCCTCCTTTGCCCTGTAAAATCTTTTCTCTCTGCTAACCACTCTTTTTAGCTTATTTTGATTGATCTTGGTGTTTTGCAGTACAGTATCACACATAATGGAATTTTATGTTCTCAGCATTTCTGTGACATTAGTTACTTTATGGCTTGATAATTGACATTGTGACCTGCAGAATTCTGGATTAGCAGAAAACTGACTTGCTCCCGTAGAAAAAAGAAACCTGGCTGTATCATTTTCCTTGCTAATTCTGGCAAGTTTTCCAACATAGTTCTGAACTTTGCAAAAGCCACTGGACTGCTTGGACTGCCAGCTCCAATATTATGGAAAGATTGTTTAAGACTTGATGCAGACATCAGAAAGAAGGATGAGGCCTGAGGATTCTGTGAGAATGTCTAAAGGTCTATAACAAACTGGGTAATACAAATCCTAGCCAGAGAACAAGGAGATACAACAGAGAGAGTGTATTTATTGCATTTTCTGTCTAATATTGTTCAGCGTGTACAGTTCTAATAGAATTTGTGTAAATTTTTATGTGTGTTGTGAATCTCTTATTTTGAAAAGGCATTAGAAGGGATAGATACTAGTAAAAGGTAACACTTAGAATTAAATTATATTTAAATTATAATTTAATTATAGTTTAATTATAATTTTACACTCAGAAAAGCAAACACTTTTTGTAACTGGCATGACTGCAAAAAAAATCTATAGCATTATGCTGCAACAGAACACCTTGTTCCAGGCTCTTACAGTATATGCTGTCTAGAGGACAGTGGATGTGCATACTGTGGGCAGACCTGTAGTCCAGTGGATCTGAACTGTTATTGTAATACTGTTTCTCTGTGTTTTCTGTTTTTTGTGATTCTGTTCTCCTAGTCACTGAGGCTAACAGATTCTTGTTATTGTAATTGAATGCTGGATAAGACCCTTTTAAAACCATTGTAAATCTCTGCACTCATCCTTTGTTTTCAGAAAAACCCTAATGTAGGTATGATTTATCAAAGAAATATAGCAAACAGAGATCTATCCATTCTCTCGTCAATTTGCTTATTCCACATTCCACATAGGTAAAAAAAAACCTAAACTCTTTTAATCTGTTCTTGACAGAAGAAGACTAGAGGGGAACCCATTCAATTTGTTTGGAGTCTCAATAATTAAGGGTAAATTATCTTGATTGAGACCAAAATCAGTATGAAAATCAGAAGACAAACACAAGTCACTCCATAACCAAGGTTGAGGTTGTGCTCCATTGCCCTCGCAATTTGAAGCACCACAATGTTTGGGAAGCAGGCTAGTACTACATCCTAGAAACCCATCAACACCTTCACAAGACCAGATAACAAAACCATGAAGACATCATGAGACACATGAAGTTGAAGATGATAGACATGTATATAACCAGTTGATCAGGTTGGTTACACAGGTTACAAATAATGTTTTAATTTATTTCACAGGGATTTAAGACTGAAAATGTTGTACATTATAGGAGATCAAATATAAAATCTTAATTTTTTTTTCTGGTGGAAATCTGTTATATATTGTGATGCTTCACTATTACATTATTAGGCTCCGATGTCGACAATCAGCTGACATTTTTAATTGTAATTTAACTTGTTGGGGCATCTTTTAAGGTGCTAAAGAGGTTTCAGCATTCTGAGGCTTCATGAGGAAACTGAATCTACTCTGCCTTATTATACACCTCCCACGAAATGTACAGTACACTGGCTTCCTGTCAAAAGTAGAAGAGACTCTAAGGTTCTCCTACTCACTTCACTCACAAGACACTGAATAGCTGCAGGTTATCGTAAGGGCTGATTGCTTGTGTACTGTCAGATCAAGTGCTGGACATCTGCTGATACAGGTCTTCTTGTGTGCAGCACCACACCACCTGAAGTCACTGCCCACACCCAGCAGAGGGTCTGCAACTGTTACCATTATCATCATTATTATTATTATTTGACTTATGTCACATCGCTCAACACTAACCATGTGTATTTGAGCTTGAACAGATTTCTTGCAAAGTTTTAAAGCAAACAAATTCCCTCAACAATAATTGGGGGAACATTTCAGTATTTTCTGTGTAGAGTGACTGGTTGATTTGTGCACAGATAATTCCCACTGCAATTACACTCTTAAACAATGCAAAGTAACCACCTATTGTTGCTTTTCTCCTGTAACACTACTGTATTCTCTTCCCTTTTGATGATGTTTATTTGTCATTGTGTTGTGTTTGACTGTGCTGTAAAACAAATTTCCCCTAGGGGACAATAAAACTCGAATTGAATCAGTTATTCAGATATGCACGAAAACACGACTTGCAGTGGGTGTACTAGTAGGCACTCTTTCCTCTGGACCTCAATCTCCCAACCAGCGCTCCAGAATGGTGACAGGGGACCCGGTGCTATTAGAGGTGCCAACCCTATAGCATGAGATATTAAAGTGAGGTCCTGACTACTTGGGACTTTTCAAAAGAATAAAGGTGTTAACTTCAATGTCCTTTCTTAGGCTTTTCTTTTTTAGGCTTTCCTAAAATTCCTCTTAATTCAAAAGGGCAACTAATCTCTCACTTTTCCACCCAAACTGCTGGGTAGAGGGGTGCTGCACTTTACCCCCCAAAAGACCATATTTTTGGAAATTCTAACAATTTTAGATATTTTTTCTATGTACTTATATATAATAATTACAGTTATTTTATGTTTTCTAACTCAAAATGTTGTGAAAAATAACCATGTTAACCACAATGGAATTGTATTTGCTTCTTACACAAAAATATTACTGTACAACAGTAAAACCATTAAGAGAGATTTTGAAAGAAGCCTTTCAATGTTACATGTTATATATTTTATTTTCTACCCAAAATTAAAATGACTACAATAGAAATTTGTGTATAATTAAGGAAAGAAAAGACAGAGGTGTTTAATGAATAATGTGAATAATTAGCTTTCATTTAAAAAATCTGTTAATTACAATTGAGTAAATTGATGGACTCACATACAGTAGGTTAATTGCAAACATTACATCTCAATAATAATGAAAAGAAAGTGTTATGTTCATACAGTATAGGCATTCCATCTCAGTAACACAGTTGCAATATGGTGAATCTGTTCTATTTTTTGGTAGAACGTTGATGAAGGAGAAAAGGAGAAAACCAAAAGATTTATTTGCAATTTCAGTGAATTAAAACTTCTGAGACCAAACTACTGCTTTACAATTCAATGATGGAATATAAGATATTTTAATTGTGGTGGGAATTCTGTAGTACTGTAACATTCACAAAAGCCTAGTCAGTAAGTTTTGCTAAACAGAATTGGTATAAAAATGTTTGAAACAAAAACAAAATAGCATAGTATTTATATATTTATAGTGAAGTTTAAATTTTTTTTTCAAAACATGTATATGTGCCATTACAAAGTCATTAAAATAATATACATAACCTGAGGAGTGAATAGGAGTGCATATCAAAAGAAACAGCACAGGTACAGGTGACTACAGTTTGTATTGTAACATTTTTTTTCTTCTGTGCTTCTTATTTTAGCCTGCGATGATTTAGTCACAGATATCCCACACAAACGTCAGGGGAAAATCTTTCATTTTCTCCTGGAATATTTTGTCAAATTTTTCATTCTGAGCAACTGTAAAGTAGTTCTTCCAGTCTCCAATGGTCCCTGATTAAAAAAAAAACAAACAGAAAACAATAAACAAACTGTACAAGAATCACACAATAATCTAATCAGATTATTACTAATCAGAAAAGCACAATCTTTTGAGATTTTGAGACCATCCTGCATCTGACCTGGTTTACTATTAGATGACAAACAAATGTAATGTTTATTGTAAGGTAATGTAGGCACGACTGCTTACAAGTTCTGCACTACTGGCTTGGAGGATGGTAGCTTGGGGACCAAGTGGACTGAAGTTCTTAACTGAAGTTCGGGAGGGCTGACGACGGCCAAGCCATCCTCCCTAGCTCTTCAAAATCATAATCATTCCCAACATTACTTCTCAAAGTTATATATATAAAGTACCCAATAACCTCTTCTTCTTGCATTTCACCTGCTACATCCCTCCATCCTACCTGCACGTTAGCAGCTGCTTCTTGGTTTAACTTCTCACTTATCATGGGGGTCCTGCTCTCCTTGTCTGAAGGCCAGAAGGTTGACCCTCAGCTACAGCAAGTGGGTAATGCCAGACTTCACTATTCTAACTACTTAATAAACCCTCTCTGTTGCATCCAGTTCTTTTGTGTCACTCTTTGTTTATCAGGTGTTGGATGAGCACTGAGATGAGAGTGTGTCAGTTTCTACAAATTACAGGAACTACAGGTTTTACATTTAATCTTTTCCAGTATCATGCTGTTAAAGACTTCAAAATTCTTTAACTAAAACCTCATGAGCAGTGAGACTGGAATATGTTTTTATCCCATCATTTAAAGTTAAAAGTTAGAAATTGAATCACGTATCAATTTTGGTTAAAATTACTTTGGAGTTAAAAAAATCAGTGATACACACACCAAAATAAGCCATCAATCAGATTCCTTGTGAATATTTTAGTATTTAAGCGCAATATGTTTTGGCTTAACCTGCTTGGTTTGGGCATAGGACGAGGAGGCTCAACTACCAGTCAGTGAGAGGAGTTATCCAAGGGGTAGCTACAAAGTTTGAGATGAGGATGAGATGGGATCAATACAAGAATGTATGTGGGCAAGGGACATACTGTACACTGTATATAGCAAAAATCGGTCATGATTGTGACATAAAAAAGCTGGATGTAATTGACTTGTTTGTCTTTATCCCTCCCGAATGTCAGTTAAGAACTTCCATTTGTTACCATGTTATTTTTCATTTCTCAAAACTGTATTTTTTAAAATTAATTTTGAGTACCTTTTCTCATAAAAGCTCCCTTTCTCTGGTTCAGCAGGTCATTGGAGACTAACTGGTAGTTGGCTTTTGGATTGACTTTCATGTTTTTAAAGGTAGAGTGCTCCACAACATTGTTAATCTGCTCGTCATTAAGCTGCTTTCCCAGAAATTTGCATATTTTCAAGACTGAGGTCTTTATGTCCTTAGAAGAAAAATAAAAACAGAAACATCTCAGAAAGTCATCTGGTCATCTAAATCTGCCACGTAGTATTTATAGTGTGTTTGTTCTTTTGAGTAGTCAAAATATTAAAATCTGATAAGCCGACTAAGGAAGCAGCTATACCTTGGAATCAGGGGAACAAAGAAAATAGGAAAAATCACCACATATGTATGTGTAACACACAGAGATTGTTTAAAGCAGTCCATAAAGGTGGCAGATATATACACCTATAATATAAATAATATATAATAAATATATAATATATCCTTTCTTGTGATCGAGAAATATTAGTGATTCATTTTAGTGATTCAAGAGCAACTACTGTTTTGGTGTACAAGACATATCAGTAAACCGAAACTATCCACCTTTGTATCTTCAGTTATTTATGGTTAGATCATTTTAGCCTGTGTTAATATTATCACATCCAGTTATGCTATGTCTGGTTAGGTTATTTACATTGTATTGCTTGTTGGTTTGCCTTCTGTGCAACACAAATGTCAGCCCTTTGGCCTGGTCATCATTAAAAATTTGTTCTCATCTGACTTCCATCCATCCATTTTCTAACTAATTTATCCAATTCAGGGCAGCAGGGGAGCAGAAGCCTATCCTGGCAAGCAGCAGGTGCACGGCAGAAAACACCCTGGACAGGACACTAGATCATTGCTGGGCATACACAGACACACACACATTCACACCAGAGCCAGCTTCCCAGAAGCCAATTACCCTACCAGAATGTCTTTGCACTGTGGGAGGAAACTGGAGGAAACAGGGGAAACCCACATGAACTCAGGGGGAACATACAAACTCCACACGGATAGCACTCCAGGTCCAGAACTGAACCCAGGACTCCAGCAATGTGAGACAACAATGCTTACCACTGTGCTGCCCTCCTCAACTGACCTCAATGATCTCGTTAATAAAGGATTGAAGTCCTTTATTAATCAACAAAAAAGTATTTTTATTTGTGTCAGTGTATCTGAATCGTCCTAGATGATGATGTACCACCAGTATGGGAACATCTTTTTTTTTTAAAAAGACATTTATAAATTGAGCATGATAAATAAATGAAAGTATGCATCTGCATAACTATTTTTGAAATTTCAAATGTATGGCAATGTAGGCTTTTTTTAACCAAACCACACACCATTACATAAGTTTGAATGACTTATACTTTAAAGTAAGCTTGAATTACTTATTACATACTGTAGAAAGATGTTACTCAGTTTGAATGATTACCTTAATCATCTCTTCATATGTCAAGTACAGAAAGTTCATTTCATCTTTGTGGCTATACCATTCTTTGATTTGATCAAACCAGGAGCTGCCAAAAACTGTTCAATAAATGAGGTAGCATTATTAAAGACAATGCTGATTCCTTTAACAAACATCAATTTGCAATTGGGCAGCTAGGTAATTATGTACCTTTACCACTTTCTTTCAGAAGGATTACAGATGGAATATACATGGAAGGTTTACAGATTAAATTAATGTAATCATAACATGATTATGTTAGTTTTATTGAATGTCCTATTAAATGCATTGTGTCTTTAAAGAAACTTGTTTAAAAAATACAAAACAAAAAATTATATTATATAGTTTTATTTCTTACACTGAATTAGGAAAGAAAAACATTAAACAGGTAAATCGACTGATGTTTAAAATAATAGAAACCTGCAGTTAAAGAACTGTAGTAAAATAGAAATTTAACACTGAAGAGACTGTCAAAGCAAGGTTCCATTGCAGAAACTCTGAAATCAATGTAATATTTGCTGTTAATGCACTTACCTCTTCCTTCCAGGAATTTATCAAAAAAATCCTCAAAGTTTTTTGGTGTCTCCAACATTACTGCATAGGAATGAAAGTGGTAGTATGACACCAGTATATCTTTTGGGTTTCTAGCTACATAAATTACCTGCAGAAAAAAAGTGCAAAACTTTAAGTGGGAAAAGATTGACCAAATATCGTACAGACCTTTCACCCCCTATATTTAAACACAGAGGGTATCACACTATGAATATGAAGAACATATTGAGAATATGATTGAGAATAGCTTTGAAATCCCTTACCTTAACATTTTGAATTTCATATCTGTTCCTTTTCAAGTACATCTCTCACAGAGACTATATACAAAACAATCATGCACAACCACAACCCCTCCGAAAGATCGGGTAAAGTACAAACCTTCCCCTTTTTTTGCCTTAGAGCCTCTGGGAGTATATTATATGGCAAATGAGAAACCCGGATGCGAGGTGAAGGAGCAGCCACAAAATCGTGCACTTTGCCTTTCAGCTCAATCCATGGAATTCTGTCGGAAGTTGTCTGGTTTTGTGTTGCACTGAGATCTCCACCTGCTTCAATCAAAGTCAGGATCTGTTGCATCCATATGGTCCCTATTATTTAGAACAGGAGTAAGCCAACATAGTCTTTATAATCTGTGAGATTGTTATTGCTCTGTATTTAATAGTTATGGCATGTATCAGCATTCTTTACGTGAAATATTGTGAAGAGACATCAGTTGTACCAAAACATCAAAAACAGGAATCCTGGTGGAATTCAATTGCATCTCAGCTCAGCTGGGAGAGAGGAAAATATGTAGTTTTTACAGTATATCAGACATGTCAAACTGTACTGTGGTTATGAACAATTATCATTTTGAGAAATGAATATGGTATCTGTGTTCTCTAAACTACTAGATAACCACTATAGTACAATATTTTGTAAATTGATGCCTTAGTTTTCTAAGAAAATATGATTGTGTAAAAGATGTCTGACAACTGGATTTGCCACATTCCAGTGAGACTACAGAACACTAAATTAAAACTGAATTCTATAGTAGATAACCCTGAAGGGACACAAGAAGGGAGACAAGAAGATTCAACAAGGAACATGTATTGGGCAATCTGAAAGTGGAACAGAACTCTCATCTTTATTTCTTCGGGTTTACTTGATTCATTCACACACTTCCTGTGTTCATGGACCACAGAGCAGATTTGTTTGTGTGCAAAATCTCGCATTCATCTTTGAGTAGTAATCTGAAATTTGTTTTTACCTGACTTTGGATATGTAACTACAAAGATATCAGAATCCCTGATTTCACATTTCTGCAGCTGATCCAGATCTTCAGCTGAATGAATATTTGATATTAGAAGAAAGTTTTTGTATGGAACAAGAGTATAGTCCAGCATCTGGTTTTCACTCTCAGCCATGGTGCCTAAACAGAAACCGTTAGCATGATCAGTAGTTATTCATCTTTAGTTATTGTATATGCAATCTGGAATCATGGCAATTCAGAACAAAAGTCTATTACCTTGTGCCGTATGTCTGCAATGGTAGAACTACAGTAATACTTTCTTTCCTGAGTTCCAGGACTCAGCAAGTGAGGAAAAAAACACTCAGCAATTTTAATGAGTTTCTTTATCCAGACCTTCATCCAGACCTACAGTAAATTGGATCAAAGGAACAAACAATCACTTTAATTATACAAGTGGAATAAAACACAGTTTGACTAAAACCAAACAACCCTTTGGCACTACTGTATAGCCCCTGAGGACCCCTTCCTAATTTGATCTCCTATTAAATTTCCATTACTACAGAAATCTAATCATCTGTAACACCTTCAGTGTTCTTTTTTCAAGAATTGTCAAGTTTTGTTTATGCCGAGAATTGTCTTTTATAAGGCACAGATTTTCATTTGAGAACAAATCTTTGACAATGATTTTTATTCTTATTTCTGCAATTGTCAAACTCGTCTCACCATTACAACCTTCACTGCAGCACAGAAGGGGCTGAGGACAGGGAGTGTTCCAACAAAATAAAACCTGTCCATCCATCATCTTTTGATCAGTTGATGATTGCATAGTGCCCACTAGCATTGATATGAGGAGTGAATGCCTTGCTCCAGCAGTCCTTCTCTTGGGCACCTGACAGATCACAGGGACTGCTGGTGCACAGAAAGCTGAGGAGAGCCTGGCCATCTCGAAATCACCCAAACCCACCAGTGCTAGACCAGCTGCAAGGCCCTGCTTGAACTGAGATTTCCCCGGTGCCCTCAGAATCAAACTCGGGATATCTGTACTGCATGGCTCACTCAGCCATGTTCTCTGAATGAATAGTACCCTTTTTTTGGTATAAACAAACATGTATAGCATGCTTTTCCATAAAATGTTATGTTTTGCGTCCTGATTGTAGCAGAAGCTATTTAATTAATATTTAACTCGTATTATATTTGCTGTATAAGAACATATAGAAAGGTTATAACAAGAGGAGTCCATTCAGCCCATCTAGTCTCTGGCCTGTTTGGTTGTTAGTAGCTAAATAATCCAAGGATCTCATCCATCTGTCTTTTAAAAGAAGCCAGAGCAACAGCTTCAATAATGTGGATGGTAACTTGTTCTATTCCCCCACCACCCTTTGTGTAAAGAAATGCCTACTATTCTCTGCTTATTCACCTTGTATACATAGAAGTACATACTGTACACATGAACTATATGCAGTGCTCCTTTCCAAAATCAATTTCATGCTGTCCTCTAATCTGTAACATAAATTAATTTCTTCATATTTTCTGATTAAGTCCAAGGAAAGTGCTTTGGCACAGAAAAAAAAGCATCAATAGTTATTGCAACATAACCCAGATTCAGTGCCCTGGTCAAAGTCTCTTTCTTGTTTTTACTGAACTTCACTTTACGAATGGATTTATTCCAGTTACTCAATTTTAATTTATTTTGCCTGGTTTTCAATTGGTTTTCATTTGTTTCAAGACTATTTCTAGATCGATCACCTATGAAACCTTCTAGTAAGATCTCCAGTTTTTGTAAAGATGTACAGTAAATAAATTAGTTCAAACAGTGTATGGGAATAACTTAGAGCTCAGTTTGTAACTAAAATATCTGTTATCAAAATTCCAAAAAATAGGATTTGGGAAAATATTTAACCTGAAAGCCTGTTTGAAACACTGTTTTCCTAAAACTCACTTATTCCTAAGTAAAAAAAAGGTTGACATTTATGAAGACGTTTGATTTATTCAGAGTTGGAACTTTACTATGTATGATACAGGAAGATCAACTAAAAATGTTTAGTACAAAAAAATAATCATTTTTGAAACTTAAAATATGAAGTTCAGGGATTTCTTTACAACATGATCATTGTGCTATACATTATGTTATGCCTTATGTGTAATTTGGAATACACAACTCCAGTGACTTTCCAATTGAGAGTAAAATAAATTGAGGCATATAAATTGCATGACCTAAACATATTTATTTAAAGTTTTACAGCTACTGTATACTAACAAAGGAGATGAATAGAACTGGAACTTTTATTCACATAATTTCTATATTTTGATTGTAGGTTATATTGTGGGTTTTAGCTGTGGAAAGAGACTGAAGACACTTGTTTCACATTGAGCCAAATCTGCTTCATTTCTAAAGACAGATGAAATAAATACAATTATTTAGAAAGTTCTCTGTGGGGATATTATAAATGCCTCACATTGATTTTATCCTCTTTTCTGTCTCACTGAGAAGTATTGCACAATATTTTTTCAAGGATTATGTAGTACACCACTTGAATTACAAGTTTTTTTCTTCCTGAAAAAACATAGCAAAACACAAATCTTTGCCTGTTGCTTCATGCTACTAACAGATTTTGTAAATACATGTTTATGAACTCTCAATTTCTGTATCCACTGAATTCTAACATTATTACATTACAACGTCTTTTGAACAATAACAGTTAAACTGCTTTGAAGCTGAAGTCCTGTGGTTATTTTTTTACCTTTTCCCACACTTGGAGAATAGGTTCTCCATGTGAAACAATGTATTATAAGTTACGGCAACTTAAAATTTTCTGTCCTGCAGATATGAATTTTGTTAACCTATCTTTTAGGTTAGTCAAGAACATGTATCGTATTATTATGTAAACTTGTATGGCTGCTCTGTATGCACACTGGATTTTGTCAAACACTTTTCTTGGCATGAAAAAGTAAACCCATTGAAGGAAACAATGTAATTTAAATAAGTCTGCACTTACTTATGCACAGCATTAGCGAGAAAGTTTTTGCTTACCTGTCATTCGTTATACAGCTGCCATTCTCATCGAGGTGTAAAAGAATTGGAGAGCTTGCTCCTCTTTTAAGGGTGGCCTTGCCACGATCAGATTACAATCACCTCGAGAAAAGACTATTGTCAGAGCCTGGGGCCATTCAAAGAAATAAATCTTAGAATAGATATGGGGAAACATGTTCAGCCTGAAAAGATGAGCGAGCTTGCAATGCAACTTCTGAAATGTTAAATACTGTATAAGAGAATGAAAAGCAACCATTTATTTGGTCTGCAAATATAAAAATATTATGAAGGTACAATTTCTCAAGTGATTCTTGAGTATAAATAGAAATGAGTATAGCAGTACCTGAGCAAAAAATGAGCTGGCTGTTATGTATTTAAATGAAAGCAAAAAAACAAAAGTGTGTACCAGTATTTAATTCTCTGGCACTTTAGCCTTCTCATCTCATAAAGTACAAGCAGACTAACTGGGTCACACACTTAACACTAAGACAAGGTACTCATTGTTTCAAGTTTCTAAAAAGTATAATATGATCGATTTCTATTTCATTCAAGGGTGCAAACAAACAGCAGACTACACATTTTGGCACAAAGTCTTCCTCAGATTTCTGACTGGTCAATGCAGTGCACACAAAAGTTTTCTTTTCTACCACACATAACTACTAGGGATTGATTGTACAGTACATACATTTTACTACTAATAACAATGGCTGTGATACTTGGAAACATAGTTCTGTTCTATAGAATAGATTTGACATTTTGTCACATTTAATTGATTTTTCTCTTTCTAGTATAATTTACATCAGATCACTTTAGGTTTCTGCTGTTGCAGATAACTTTTTTGCTTTCAATACAACAATTCTGGTTTTCTTGCTTGAATGGTAATATGTGAAGATTAATGACAGAATATATATACAGTATATAAGACTGAGCTTGCATTGGTTTGCTGGTGTAACTTTGCTTCTTTGCAAGATTACATTACAAAGGCATCTCTTAAGACAACTGTCATGTTTTTTTCCTAATATTAAAATTATGTATTTGGCACTGTCAACCCTGGCATTCATCATTTATTCATGTTTGGGGCTTTAAACTGAAACAACTAATGTGGGTAAATGAAAAGATTCAGTATTCTTTTCACTGCAATACCACTGAGTTTAGACAGTACTATATGTTACAATTAGAATGAGTAAACTGACAAAAACAGTGTAATAAACAGTAATAATTATTTGTAAAAGTTCTATGTACATTTTAGCATTCCTATCATTGTGCTAAAGAAAGATTAACAAAAGAGATAAATTGTTCTGGGTAGCAATACTACATTCATTGTAGACACACCCTGTCAGAAATATGTCTCAAAGGAATTACGAAATACATGCTGCAGTAAAGGTACTGACAGAAGACGCCAAATCTAAAGTGACAAAGATTTGAAAATTAAATGGAGAAACTAACACAGATTAAGATTTGTACTGCAATTCAGACACATGAATCATCTTTTTCTTTCAAGAAACAACCCTCTGTCAATGGAATTAGCCATATTGCTAGTTATAAACAAAACATCAATCAAACACAGCTTTTTATAAACTGTCTTAAGCCAAAATAAGCTTTTCCTTGACTTAATTGCAGTCTTTACTTTTTCATATAGTTTTTTTCTCTTTTACCTGACACAAATGCTCAAATGATCTCTCCATAAAAACATCTTTGTTTGGCATTAAACAGTTCACCACCATCAGGTGGAAAACATCACTAAAAGAGTTAAGTATTTTATGTGATGCTTGGCACATCAAATCAAGAGTTTTTTTAAACTGTTTTGTTTTGAAAATATCTGTATGGATCTGTGTTGGGTAGCAACACTCCAGGCTCAAACTTGCAATCTGCAATATTCCACTAGATCAGGAACCACTGCAGATAACTCCAGCATATCTGATACAGCACTTGTTCAGAAACACACACAAAATATTTATGACAGAATGATTAATCTTCAAATGATGCTGATTGTATGTAGAAAGTAAATACTGTTAGCTATCCCAAGAATTGGCAACATAACAAGTAATCTTGTGCACTAAATCTCACTCTACAATTTTCCTATTGGCAATTTGGAAAGACCCCTGAAGGCATATCTGTCACACACAACATATAGTTTGTAGTTCTGTCAAAGTAATCTATTAATGTATAAAATGTACAGAATGATCCAATCTGCTAAGGATGCTGTTACATAAAATAAATTATCCTGTTAAATTGTTGTTAATGCTTGGGTACTTTCCTACCAATGTATCCTTACATTTGCAAATAAATTATCTTTATAGATGTTTCAGAAATAACCCACTTGAGGGGATAAAATAACATTAAGTTTAAACTTGAAAAAACGTGTATGGAGATTTGGTAGTTTCATCTGATGATCCAAATTACTGCAGTGCTTAATGAGGGGTGGTTATTTTACAGAAGCGTAAAACAAGATCCTGGAGTGAGGTTAGTTACCAATTATCAAAATGCCACTGCATTTCAGTTAAGTTGCTTATTTGCTATGTCTTGACTCTCGGATCACTCTAGTCATGTCAAGGGCAGTCCAAATACTGCTCTGCTGTTGGGTCTGTTGGATACAGCTTCCATAGTCATTCCCATAGGTCAGAAGCCATTTGCTGTCCCCAAGAGTTGCTCCCAACTCGCAACCACTGTTCCAGCACAATCTGCCCATGACAGACACTGTCTGCTGGCAGCAATCCACACATAGAATTACATCTCCCCACCTCCAAAACCATTCCTGGTGTTGGCAAGCAATGTCTGGTCTGGCTTGGAGGAACACTGTGTGCACATGCTGATGTGCTGCTGGAGCCACGGGAAATATCTTGTCAGATCTGGCATAGTACCGGTAAACCAACAGCGATCCATATCCCTGTGTGTTCTGTGCTCCCAGGAATACTTTTGTGAACTGCGGATGACATGGTAAACAACACAGACTTTTGCATGCGGGCAGCAGGAATGTATATAAGATATAGCAAGTGGGTGGACCTCAGTCTGAAAATCTGATCAATAAGACAATTACTGTACCTGTTAGAACAAGTAGCAAGAATGAATTATTCAAGATTGAAAATGGAAGACATTTCTTTAATGGAATTTATTTAATGAAAGTTCGGGAGGGATGACAACAACCACGCTCAATCATCCCCTGCCGTCAGTAATTAGCAATCGCTCCCATCATCCTTCCTCCACCAAACACTATAAATACCAATGCAATATCTCTCTCCCTCGCGTGCAACTTTTGCATCCCACCTCCACCCCAACTCCACCTCTGCAGCGACCCCTTGGTTACCCTGCAGGGGGATCCTGGCCTCCTCGTCCTATGGCCAGGAGGTCGGCCCTCAGCCAAGCGGGTTAAGCCAAACATTCTGTCACGATTGTAGTCCCTCCTCCTTAAGGGAGCTCTGGCTCTTCCTTGTTTGCCTTATTCCCCGCACCTGTTCCTTGTTCTAGCCCCCTTCCAGCCCCCCTTAAAAGCCAGGCGCTGACGTAAATCCGGGCTCTACATCTGATTCCCATATCGTGCGAGCCCGGGACACCAGGTTGTGCCTGGCTCCGTTATGTTTTTAAGTTTCTATGCCTGTTCCTGTTCCCCTTGCCGGTTCCGACCCGGTTCCTGTTTTTAATCCTTCGCTTTGAATGGATCACCTGGCCATGGACTTTCGCCCGTTTTTTGGATTCGCCTATGGACTTATGCTTTGGATTGTTTGCCTCGGCCACACCTTCCCCATACACCAGCGCACCAAGGACACGCCCCCGTCTTCATTCCCGTCTCCTGCATGACTTTTCCCCCCATGTTTTCTCACTTTAACCCGGATTGTGTCGTCCGCATAGGGTCCGGAAAGAACTGATCGTTACACATTCGCTCCACAATAGTTCGTACGCTTTGATTTTGGGTGTTGTCATTCCTTGTGAATGACAGTTGTCATGGTTTGGAACAAACTACACTGTTAGGCTCTTGAAGCTGGTTCATGTTTTACTGTTCATTGTGGAAAAGTTCTCAGGACTGACTTTGTGAGTGCCTTTGAGAATTTCAAATACTTGTATCAGATCCCACCACAGTATCCTCTGTCCAAGAATATAGTTGTTCAGTGTAGGGCATTTTTTGAAGTCAAAGAAATAGATCACAGGGTTCTTCACTTAAATTTGGACTTACAGTAAATGCAAAAAATGGAAAAGAAGATAAGGGTGCTTAATAAAGTATTAAAAATTATTAACCAAAACCCAATTACTGAAATTGAACTGAGATTGCTACCATAATTATTCTGGGAAAAGTAATAATTAGAGTTTAATTAAAGTTTAGTCAAATGTGTTTAATAATACTTATTATGCCAATCTTGCTATTCTTTTTTTTGGGACCAAACTCTGAAATTGTACTGTGATCAGAATAGAACTGAGATTTGAATCTATAAAAAAGCATATTCTGCACTTTTACTGCCAGAAAAAGACCATTCTGACCCAGATAATAACCGTTTTTCATTAAGAAATGAGGGTCATTTTCTTTTTTGTGAAAACATATGATACATAATTTCCAAAATATTACTTTTGTTTCTGATTAGTAAAATCACTAATATATTGTTTAATTTGACTTTAAGCTTATTATAATGCACCTATAATTTTTTTAGCCATTCACTATTTACCAAATACTATTAGTATTTTAAAGGCAGGGTTAATTGTTGTACAGGGAAGTCTGTATTCAATAATTCCCAGCAATGGACTTTCTCCCAGTCTGCTTAACATTTGGCTCTCATTCAGGAACAATAGTAGGTGGGCCTATGCTGTGTGTGTATTAAAAGGGTTTCTCTTACACATGAAGTGCTCTGCTCCCTTACTGACACTTGGACAGGTGAATCCTGGATGACCTACTACTTCCCAACTTTTAACATTAAGGTAGGATGTGGAGTATACTTTACTACTAGTTAAGTAACTATGAAGATGCATAGGTAAAAATGTGCAAAAACATACAGTATAACATAACATTCTATTAAAACACAAAGTTTCTGATTTGTAGTTAATCTTCAGAAATACAGTATATAGTGTTTGGCCTATTTCTTTTCTGGAACGTGGCTTGCCTGCCAAAATTACGTGTGACTGGCTTTTTTAAAGTTTGTGGATTTACTGTATCATTGCTATTTTAGATTTGTGGTAGTTATAGCTTAACTACCCAATACTTGCTATAGTGCTTAAGAACTGTATTACCAAATTCCAGTATACATACACGAAGTGCTATGGTTGTTGTAAAGAACACGGACCGAGATCCGTATCAGATCTTATAGAATACCCTATGCGATGCGGTAAGAGCTGGAGAAAACAGGAGGCGTGGTAAAAGGGAACACACAGGTGTTTAATAGCGCACAAAGTAATAGTGACAATCCGCGAGACAGTGAACGCGGAAGACAGAACGGCATCCAAATCCAAATGGGTCCGAAGGCAGGTCAGGGCACAGTCCAAGAGTCCATCAACGAATAATCCATCCTGGGACGCAACAAGGTTAAAATCCCCGGGAGAGGGGAACACACGGACAGGCAAAACATGGAGGTCCAAGGGTGACGGGGAGAGATCCTCCAGACTCCGGGGTCGGGAAGCGGGAGGTGTCGGGGATGAGGCCTATGCCCTCAAGAGACAGCCGTAGGGTTTCCTGGTGTTAGGCGGGCCTCGCGACATCTTTACCCTAATGATAAGCCCCGAGGACTGGAGGAGCTAGTCTTTAAATAATAAAGCTAAGAGGGTACACCTGGGGAGCTTAACAATCACAAGGACAATAATGGGAGCAGTGGGGAGCCCTCTAGGGAGGGATGTCGGGCGTGACAGTTGTGAGCATTTCCTTATGGCACTAAATAATAATTTATCTGTAATGTAAAAATCTGAAAGTTCTGATAAAGCATTTGCATTTTCCTCGATATGTTTCAGGATTTTGGTATGATATAGTTCAACATTTTATATGGTTTGCCTTACAAATGATAATTTTCACTATAGGCTGGACTACTGTATTTAGAAGGTAAAGGTTACTGTAAAACTGGAATTTTATGTTTATCACTGTAAAGTTGTTCATGTAACATTTGCTACAGCACACTTAAGAAAGCACTGTCAGTGGAGAAAGACAAAGAGATTAACTAATTAGATGACCAGAACAGAAAGTGGTTTAAACTGCTGTATACAATATATTTTTTTGCTTTTAAGTCAAAAACTGATATTAAGCCAAGGGTGCTTAATAAAGTATTAAGAATGATTAACCAAAACTCAATTTCTGAAATTGAACTGAGATTGCTACCATGATTATTCTGGGAAAAGTAATGATTAAAACGTATGGTAAAATGCATTTAATACTTATTATGTTAATCTTTTTTTTTTTACCAAACTCTGAAATTGTACAGTGCACAGAATAAAACTGAGATTTGAATCTATCATTTGAAAAAAGTAGAGATTTTTCCAGTATTTGTGTGTTACTGTGGTCATGTTGCTGTATAAACTGTATAATAATTGTACTTTATTTTATGTCAGAGTTTTTACAGTATGTTTAGCTGATATGTAAGCATGCAAGAGGAACAACATTACAGACATATTACATAATAGTTCCAAGTTACTTCATCAATATGTTGTATTTTAAAAATCTTCTGTTTCACTAGGATGGAAAATAGAAAAGACCATCGTCCAATTATTTCTAATTACAAAGGATTTAATTTTATTTCCAATGTGCATGATCAGAAACATCTGGATTCTCTAGAGACATTTGAAATCCGAGAAACTGATGTTTTTGTCATAACTTATCCTAAATCAGGTAAGAAACTGTAATATTTACCCTATGTTACTGAAACCAGATCTTCCTAAATGGTCTGATTAAATGAATGCATAAATCGCATGTTAATTTCCATTATTATTTAAAAAACAATTACAAACATTATTAAAACAGCAAATCTAGTGAAGACTTTGTACTGGAGAAAAAAGGTATTAGAAGAACTGCTAATGCACGGTATAATACTAAGTTTTTACAAGCAATATTATGTTTTCTTATTATGTTTTCCCACAGTAAGAGGGAAAACGTAACGTAGTTAATGTATAATGCAAATTCATTCAGGTTTATGATAAGTTTATCTACAAACCAATTACTAATGATGGAGGACTTCACACATTTTAAATGTAGAAAACATTAGATTTAATAACAACAAACTGATTAATTACAGTTACAATATTTTCATTTTATATAATTCACACCATAAATACAGTATGCAACTCAAATACATGCATACAACCTTACTTGAAGTAGTTGAGTATCGATTTGAATTAGTTTGCTTTATTGTCTTAACTTGGCTGTCTGAGTGAATAACAACATGGCCATGAAGAGAAGGCCCAGTCCATTTAGGAGTATGAGCCTTGGAGCCACTCCAGGAGGAAGATGGGCAGAGGAGGGAATGCAAAAAGGAATGAAATACTCAAGCAAGTTACATAGAAATGTGATATTTATACATAGAGGTGGAAGTGGACGAGACTAGGGTTTGACCTCCTGAGAACTTTTGTTTAAAGCTTCATTAATATTTCTCTATAAATTGTTTCAAACACAGGCACTACATGGTTTCAGTACCTCCTATCTCTACTGTATTACAGTAATGAGGTAGAGGGAGAAGATGCCAAAATGACAATTGAGGTTGTTCCCTGGATTGAAGTACACATGAAGAAACAAGACTACTGCAAGAAACCATCCCCACGTTTGTTTGTGTCTCACCTACCCTACAATCTAATCCCCAACGGCCTGAAAGAAAAAGGAAAGGTAAGATGAGGTATCTAAAAACTGTAGAAATGTCTGTTTAAAAAACAGTAGTTTAAAACTAAGAAAAAAGACTATGCTTAAATCAGCCCATGCATTTTGTTTAAGGTAGAGCAAGAGTAAGGCATTTTATTGTGTGACACTACCTTTTTTGCCTAATTTAAAATGATTAAATTACTATTTTTATTATTAAATCAAGATGCAAGCATAAAAATCCTAATCTGTCCGACTGTTTATACAACACATGAAGCTAAATAATGAAAATGGATGAGTTTTTTGACAATGAACATGAATATGGAAAAAGCACCTTTAAGACTGGATTTTATAAAAGTGTAGTGGGAATATATGTAGTAGTCATTCATAATAAAAGGTTCTGGATAACACTCTATAGCAGAGGGAAACAACCAAACTGAACTTTTCTCAACTTCACTTATAGGAAAGGTTAGGTTTAGGGATCATTCTGCTCTTTGTTGTGGTATATTCAAGAGTATTCCAGTGTGACAACCCTTGCCCGCAGAGATAATTTTGTTTTTTGGGGAGAGTTCACAGTGGTTCATTAAGGGGTTGGACAATAAGATGATAATACACCATCATCACACAATGAAATAAAAGACAAAATATCCAAAAAGGCAATTTAAATGGTGCTTAAAACTCCATATAAGATTTAGTTCAGTGTTCCTGGATCCCAGGGCACAACTGGCTGTGCTGTGAGGCTCTGGTGATTTTGAGCTGGCTTTTCAGCGCCATGCCAGTTTGCCTACAGAGCAAACAGGTCAGCCGATGATGCCATCTCCCTGGGGCTCTGTGATATATTTCAACATCAAGAAGCACCTAGCACATATGCCTGGATCCTCTTTATTGACTACAGTTTTAAAAATTATCCCTCTCGAGCTTTTTGATAAACTGGCAGAGATGGGTATTAATCAGACTGTGAAATTGGCTATCGAATGTCCTTTCCGATAGGAAGCAGGTGGCGAGCTGAAAGATACCTTCTCTAAGCCTCTCATCCTGGGCACAGGAGGTCCTCAGGGTTGTTGTGTCTTATCACTTTTCCTTTATTCACTGTACACACATGACTGTATTGCACACTCTGATTCAGTCAAGATGTTTAAGTTCGCTGATGATACCACTTCATAAACCACTTATACCACTTGTATAGGGCTCATCATAAACAACAGGTATACAGAAATGAAGTAGTTGAATTAGTTGAATAGTGTATCCTAAATAACCCAAAACTAAAAGTCAATAAAACAAAAGGACTTGTGGATGACTTTAGGCAAGGCATGATGAGCAATCTCACCACTATACATCAATGGTCAGGTGGAGAACTAATTTAAGTCGCTTGGCACCACCATCACCAGCACTCTTAAATGGGAGGTAAACATATCTTCTATGATTACGAAAGCTCAACAGAAGCTGTTCTTTCTGATACAGTTAAAGAAGTTTGGAGTGTAACAAGAAGTAATGACCCTCTTCTACAGATCTGCTATTGAGAATGTTCTGGCCCTTTCCATCACTGCCCTGGTCAAGAAGCAGCTAGAAAGAGTAGTGTATATTGCATCCAAAACTGCAGGGTGCCATCGTCTCTTTGTAAGCTCACTCGACTTCTCAACACTGAAAAGCTAAGCTCTAAAGATCCTTGTGACCCTTCTAACCCTGCCTAACCTCTCTTTACTTCTCTCCTCTCTGGTAAGAGGTTTAGGTCCATGAAGGCAAGGACTTCTAGGTTCTGTAACAGCACCTACCCAGTGATATGTATGAACTCTGCACTTTGATTTAGCAGTTTTTGCACAGCTCATTGTTATTTTATCTGGTCTCGTGGTTATTTATTTTACTGCTGGGATGTTTTTACGATGGTATGTGAAGATGGGGTGGGTGGATGCTGTTTATTATTAGCTTTACGTTGTATATATCTACTGTAAAAATCAAATTTAATGCGACTAGTTGTTATGGAAATAAAGTATTGAACTTGAACTTACACTGTCCCGCACAAGATGATAACTCATGCACATAAACAGACAGACAAAGACTAGAGTGTGTTTTGTGGACACAACCGCCTTTACCATATTTTTTCCATTACATCCAAAAGTCTGTTAAAGTGAGGGTTTACTGTACATGTAACAGGTCCCCTTGTAATGTTTTCTATTCAAGACCAAATAGCTTTGATTCCTTCAGGCTGATAGTGTAGGACATGAATGTATCTGATTGCTCTTGTTCTGATTCTAGAACAGCAATATACATTTTTATAACCTGGCAACCATAATTGTATTTTTCATATGTATCCTCTTCTAGCTCAGCATTTCCCATTTTATATTTGTAGGCTTATAGTTTGTACTACCTGTATGCAAAACCCTGTGCTTACGTATTGGTGTCAGCCAGGTGACTGCCCAGTTTTTAATTTTATGTAAATATTTTTTAATTGTATTAGTTGCTTCTACAATGTTTGATCACATGCATTTGGCTGAAGTCTTATTTATTAATTTGTTAAAATAAGAGCTGCCTCCCCTTGTTGCGAAACAGGTGTTCTTTCCAGCTAGCTGGCTGTAGGAGCACTTGTTTGGGATCTCACCTCTTCTGTTTTTCCATTACTTCTGGTGCAGTCTGTCACTTTACAGTTTCAACCCCTGTAACAATACTCTAAACTCCTTATCGACCTGTGCAGTGGATATACAGGTACTATATTTTTTGTAAGCAATATTTCCCAGTCCTTAAATCATCTACTAGGTATTTTGATGAATCCCTTGCTTTGTACTGGTAAAAATATAATCGGGGGAAACCAGCATTGCTGCCATTGAGTTGTCTCTGACAGCGTCATACATTTCATACACTTCGGTAGTTTTATAGTAAAGTACTTCTTTGATTCTCGTTCACCCACCCTACAGATGCTGATTCTTACATTTTTATCAGAGCACGTACAGTATTAAATTCCCCATTTTTAAGCATGACTTATTTCTATTCTTTTCTTTTGAGATCATTGTCTTTAATCAATTCTCGGTCTTCACTAAAACCTCCTTAACACAAAAGGACTGGAGTATTTAAGATGAAGGGGTTTATTGAAATTAAGAGTAAGAATTGGGCAACACAAAAGTTAATCAAGTTGAATAGTCCTGTGCCCAGTGAAGAGCTGGCGAGAAGATATAGGATTGTGATGGTCATGGCCTGGGGGTTAAACGAAGATAGAAAGTGAAGATCAGTGATTTATTTGAATATAGCCAAGAGCAGCAAAGAAGACTGTACTGTTTAAGTGAAAAGAGGAACAACGAGATGAGCTATGGCTCCAGGGGGGGTCGGAAAGACTAGGGACAGACCACTCAAAACATGATATGCTTTCTTTGGCATATTTAGTTTTTACGCATATTTTTTAGAGTAACCAGCTATGGTAACGTTTTGAAAACACATCACATCTTTTTTTCAACTAATCTAAAGTAGGATATTCCTTGTTCTTACCTAAAAACCTTGCTAAGCAATAACTCTACTCTTGACCCCTTGAAGTGGGTTTGATGCTTGGCTGGTCTGACTACAGCTAACAAGATGATGCTTTAGGAGCCTTTTTATTCCCATTTTATTCAGCCCTACTGTCATTATTTGTATGGAGCTCTCTAATGCTCAGATCTTTCTGGTGCTGTTGAGGCAGTGTTAACATGGGTTAGTGCACCCTTTCAGATCATTATTGTATGGGCACTATTGTAGCTGTTTCATTTTATTTTAAGGAACCTTTGGTAGGAATCACCACTGAGGGATTTTGTAACGCATTAGGTGATAAAATGCTGTGTTCTTTTCTTTTCAATTTGTTCATTTTTTTAGACGAACTGATATACTGGATTAATCTTCATGTCTTGTAAAAGTCAAATATTGTGTGTCCTTTTAAGTTTCTTCTATGCTTTTGTAGGTTATTTATGTTGCCAGAAACCCCAAAGATGTTGCTGTGTCGTTTTACCATTTCCATAATTTTTCTAATTTTCTGGAAAACCAGGAAAGCTTTGGGGATTTTTTGAATAAGTTTCTTCATGGGAATGGTAAGCTTTATCTTTAATAATAAAAAATTAATGTTTCTTTTAGGAAATGATTCTCCGTTTACTTAATGGAGACAATTTGAAATGTTATGTGTACTGTATTCATAAAGTTATTTTTGATTCAGGTACATTTTACCAGGTGTGCTGTCACTAGTTCTAGTTATTCTGTGTATATACTGTACAGCTGAAACTTTAGACTGTCAATCAGACCATTTGCAAGATAAGCCTGAATTGCTTCTTCTTTTTTTTCATAATCAGGGTCATATTGTTAGTGACTCTGTAGGAGCAGTTCTAGATTCTCGAAGCTCCCAGTTGACACAATTTTATATGTCCTTTGAAACGATCAACAGCAAGATGCCACAAAAATGTTAAATTGGTCTAACAGGGCTATTAATTGTTTCAGATAAGAAGCTTGGGTGGAATCCTGCAGATGTTGTGCATCAATGTCTATGTAATGCTAACTAGAGATGCCCTTATTCCATTATTTTCATTGTGATATTGATGTACAAATTTTACTTACTACATTTCACTTTGAACCAGACATCCATGTTTGTGTCTTTTTTATATATGCAGTTTTTGGAAGCTCTTGGTTTGACCACATTAAAGACTGGTACAGTCATAAACATGAGTTTGACTTCCTGTACATCACATATGAGGAAATGAACAAGGTAAGAACATTGATGCATTCCAGATCAGGAAAAATCATTTAAAACGTTTTAGTAGAAATTAAACTTCATTGGAGTTGTTGATGATGATTAATTAATGATCGATTAATAATGGTATTTTAAAGACAGTCACATTTAAAGTGAAATGTGAAAACATACATGAACTACTCCTGCAAAAACTACTTCAGTTACAATGTGAAATTACAACTTTTGTTGTAGGACTTGCGGAGTTCTGTACTCAAAATCTCACACTTTCTTGACAAGAAGCTGGATGAAAAAACAATTGATATGATTGTGGAAAAGGGCTCATTCAAGAACATGAAGAACAATCCAGTTGCCAATTCAGAGAGATTATCTTCCGAACATTTTGATCGTAGCAAAGGATCCTTTCTTAGAAAAGGTAATTGATTGTTATACTTAATCTAAGGTTACAGCAGAGTGCACAATGCTAAGTGTACTCTTCTTGGACATCAGGACACAAAACATGGATTTCAGAAAAGTATGAGATGAAACTAACTCTCATTCATCCATCCGGTATCATTACAAGTATAAAAAAGCATGCTGACATGTATGGCTGTTTGATAAAAAGGGTAAACCGTTTGTAAATTGTTAAAACAACAGCTTGAATAGAAGGGACAATGTGTAGACATAGGTGGCATGGTGCTGCAGTGGTGAGCATTGCTGCCTCACAAGTGCTGAGGCCCTGGGTTCAGTTGTGGACAAGGGGTGCTACAGTATAGGGGTGGAGTTCTTATGGTACATTTTCCCCATGTTTGTCCATGATTGTCTTTTGGATGCTCCGGTTTCCTCCCACAGACCAAACGCATACTTGAAGGTTAGAAGATGCATGGGAAATTTTTTATCTCTTAGAAAATATGTGATTAAAAAAGTAAATCCCTCTGACATTAGGTTGAAATAAAGAACAATGCGAAGACAATGGAAGCCATCTCCCCTATAACAAGAAGCTCACTTGACGCTTTGTCTGTCAGATAACTTTAGGCTTGTCAGGAAACCGTTGGACATGGCATTTTTGTCGGCTCCTATATCTAAACACAGTTAGCTCAATACAGCCCTCAAATTGAACCGGTTTTTATCATCTCCTGAATTGGCTGACTTGTGAAATATTCTCTCAGCAATTCAGTAACCTATAATTAAAATAATTCTAAAACATAAAAATAATCCTATTATTTTCAGAAAATCTTCCTTGAAAAAGCACCTTAGTCCTTTCCTCTTGGCACTTTCTTTGAGAAACCCATTGTTCCTGATAATAATACCCTTTTCCCGCACAAATGAATGGTCAATTACTTGCGCCTGAATTCCAAAACAAAAGTCAATATGAGCCTGGTACTGGCTAGTTCTCCTATATCATTTTATTCAGAACTCAGTATAAATACTCCTTTACTTATGCTGTTTACTGTTTACTAGTGCTGTTATTCTTATTCTCGTGACATTCCAACTCAAACACACACTCACTTTTCAAAGCAAGCACTGAATATTCATGTTAAAATTACAAAGCAATACTTGAAAATGTATAGCTAAATTAGAAAGAAAACTCAATTTAGTTGGATGAAAAGCCAGTGTTACTAGTGATTTGGATACTGATTTCAGTAATAGCAAGGCGGCACAGTGTTGCTGTGGTTAGCATTGCTAGCTTGCAGTGACAGGGCTCTAGGTTCATTTCCTGGGGTGCTATCTTTGTGGAGTTTGTATGTTATGTTTGTGTGGCTTTCTTTGGGGTGCTCTGATTTCCTCACACTGTCCAAAGACAGACTGGTAGTTTGATTAGCCTCTGGGGAAATTGGCCCTGGTGTTAGTGTGTGTGTCTACTGTACGTCTGTATGCCCTGTGCTCTGTCCAGCTTGTACCCTGCCTAGCGCATTGATTGCTGAGATAGGCTCCGGCTCCCCTGTGAAGCTGGTTAGAAACTGTATGGATAGCGATGAGCCATCTATTTACCTGCAGACATTTCAAAGGGCTCTCCTTTGAAATAACCAAATTGCAAATATCATTAATAGCGAAAAACCAAAATAGCGAAACCTTTGTGAAAGACAAACCCATCAAAGGCTGCCCAAAGAGGCAAAAAGTGCACTAAACATTGTGTTTCGAAATGCACTGCACATAGTGCTGCTATCTTATTTCACTGGAACATGGTTACTTTTCAGTGTTTGCCAATGTTTGTGAAGCTTATTCTCTGAATGAAAGATTTGCAAAACAATTGGTGAGAGGGAAAGCACATTTTCAGTAGCACTGGAGTATTGAAGTACTGAAGGAGTGTAAACCCAGTCCCTCAAAACAAAAGGATATTCAAAAGGCCGCACCTTTATAATCAGCTAATGTTTCATCATGAAGAAACTCTGCATTTTTCTAAAGTACAGTTTAGATAATTAAATAAGGAAGGAAAGGTAATTCATTATGATTAAACAAACCAAACAACATAGAACACATAAAAGACAGGGGTGGTACTGGATTATTTTTTGTTTTCACTGGTTAAGTAATTATATATATGCTCTGTCTAATTAAAGCGAAACCTGTTATTTGATTTCCTTTCAGGGAAAGTTGGGGACTGGAAGAATTTGTTCACTGTGGCTCACAATGAGAGGTTTGATGAGTTCTACTGGAAGGCAATGAAAGATGTCCCTCTAGATTTCATTTGGGATCCTTGTGAATAGAGACACATGTACTGTACTTCAGTCTGCTTTTTGTTTCTTCTGCAGAGTGAAATATATTGAGTGTATTGAATGCTTTTAATCAAACAGAAACTTTTGCAAAATTCCAGTAACCTTCTCAATATACTAATACATACTTTAAGTAATAAAGAAATCAGTGACAAGTCGGGTGTTGGTTACAGGGCTATATTTCCTTATAATGGTGTTCACTGGTGTTTGTTATTGACTATATAACTAACAGAACTGTTCCCATAAAACATGAAAAAATGTTCAGTCATCATAAGAGGACTCACAAGCTTAAGAAGGAATTGAAAATAAATTATTTTCACCCAAACTAATGTCATAAACCATATGAAAATAAGGACTAATATACATTATATAATTTGTTAACATGACAGTTTGTAAACCTGTCATGTTTGCAGGTGATACCAAATAAGTGGGATCAGCAAGCACTATAGAATAAGCAAATGAAATTCAAAGATTTAGATTAAACTAGATAGACCTGGTAGATGAAAAATATGGTATATAGACATTTGCAGAGTATCGCACGTACAGTATGTAGTAAAATGTAAACTATAAATATGAAATGGGAAACACTGACAGAAGAATCTACTTCTAAAAAAGTCTAGGTGGTAATGTTGACATCATATACATCTTCTAGACAATGTGAGGAAGCAAATAAATAAAATGGCAAAAAAATACTATATTCTTGGCACATCTATCCCATTTTGAATAATAATTTCAAAACAGCTTTTCCCAGTTCAGAGGAATTATACCACTTAGACTAGGAATAAAGTAAAAACACCACAGTTTATTTAAAGATAAAAATTCTTTAGAATCTGTCAAATAAGAATCCATATTTACAATATCTACTGTATATCTTCATACATAGTAACTAATTTTCTTCCTGTACACACTGTAGATGTTAACTGAGCTTTATTTTAAGGGACTTTCTCTGCACTTATGTTTATTTTTTAAGAAGATTTTGAAAGAAGAAGTTGAACCTACAGTGGAAGTGGTTTGAGAACAAAAAGCTTTTGCTGCATTACAGCCTTTGACCTCGTGGACCAATAAACTGTCAATTAATGTGGTACCAAAGGTTATAGCAAGTACAGACTAAGACTTTTTTTTTCGGTTCAGTTAAATAAATAAAAGTGTTGAATATTGTAAAACATTATTCTAATAATTGTGACTGAATGGGTGTATCAACAAAATACAAGGATTTCTGGGGATGCCACTAATAAACACTAACACATTTTATGGATGCAGCTTTTGTGGAATTAACAAGATCGTGACCTAGTTACCTGTTCCTCTTCTGGGGAAAACACTCTGTCTACTGTCACCAACTGATACTGCTTAAACAGTAATCTGTAGAGGCGCCTAAGATTGCCAGGTGTCAGGTCACTCCCCAAGAACCTCTTCATTTCCTCTGAAGGGCAACCCGGATCAAATATTAGGAGACAAAAATGTCCATTCTTCTTTTCAATCCCCACAACCTCATTACCATGACCTTTAGAGACAGAAAAAACATTTTTAGCCGAATGTAAAATATGATGTAAAATATGATCATTGAAGAAGACAAGAACTTTTAAAAGCCAATAAAAATAAACCTTGCCAAAACAGTTTGGACTGCATCAAGAGTACAAACAAGCACTTAAAACCTTTATGGAGATGAGTAAAATATTTCTTTTTCTGGAGTACTGTACAGAGTAAACCAAATTCTAATAAACTTTATTTTGCAATGCACCTCTATAAGTAGCTTCTCAAAGCACTTTATAGGAAAAGTAAAAAAAGGTAAAACAAAAGAAAACAGTTAAAGATAGGAGTTAGCAAAATGAGCACAAATAAATAAGGAATTAGAGACGATGCGGGGAGTGGACACAGACACCAATTAAAAGCCTTTCTGAGTAAGCAGGTTTTGAGTCTGGGTGTGAAAGTGCTCAGGGAAGGTGATTCTCCGATATCTTTGGGATAGAATTCCAGAGCTTTGCGGGACAAACGCAAGACCAGAATCAAACGAACGATGACTGTGAGATGAGGAGCTCGAAGATAAGTCAAATAGGTACTGAGTGGCCAAAAATCTTGGTTAACTACTGTATTTCCTTGTTATTTCCTTATGTAATAGGTTTATTTACCACATACAGAGCTGCAAACGAAAGCTTTTTTTTCCTTCAGAAAACAAAAAGCATTTATTTCCTCAAGAACTGAGTTTACTCATATTTTCAAAGGATGTGCACACCTTCACTTACAAGTGCACATTTACCTTGGTGCTGCAGGTATATTGGAGGCCTGGTGGTCTGGACAACCCTGGGAGGAAGTCTTGCTGCTCTGCTTGTGGCCACAGAATAGTAGCTCCTGACCCACTCAAAGAGCCTGGGATGGGTGTCAGAGGGGCCTGAGGGCCGGTGGAAGTCAACAATGCGACACCTGTTGAAAGAAATCAAAAGAAATCCCTCTTATCATTTTAAACATGTGCCCATTACTCCTGTTAGAACTGCTCTGTTTTAACTGGCACAGTCTTTGTTAGTTACTGGTCCTTGCTCTTGCTATAGTGTATAGCGTGCACTTGCTGTTGCACCTCGCCCGTCTCGTGAAGAGCCACTCACTTCACCCTGAGAGATGTCAGCACAGAATAGATTTCGGTGGCTCCTACCCAGGTGCATAAGCCCTGCAGTTTGGGATTTAAGGATCAGCTCCTTCTCTCCATCTTCAATCATCGCCCGCACTCTTGGAACACATGCGACTCCCTTGCCTCTGGGACAAAGAACAAAACAGAACCAGCAGGAAATCACTGAGTCATATCTTCAGATGCCTGGAAAACAAACAAATTCCTCCAGTAAAGTACAGCATAGTGTTGAATATTACACTATTGAATAACCCTAATCAATTACCTACCAAATCTAGTACAGGTTTAATGGCTCACGGTGTAACACACTATGAGATTTTCTGTTTTTTTTTCATAGAATATTAGGCATCATGAAATGCAGAGAAGGAGGATATGGATTCCAATTGTAAGAAAAGGACAAACCCTTCACAGAGAATAGAATTTTAGAATAAAATAAATTCAAACTCAGCTGGTCAGACTAGAAGTATGAGGGAGAAACAGCACAGTCTGTATTTCTCCTGCAGGCTACTATATAAATACAGTGCCTCATCATTTTGCATCCAAATGTTTATGGAGGAGGCCTTTCACCTTCATGTTGTAACCCACACAGTAATGTTGTTTTTCTGTTGCTTGCTTCTGAAGCAAAGCATTATAAGCAAATGAAAAAACTGCTTGCATGAGTAATTTGTGCATGGTGTGTATGATTAATATTCTCCTGATGCTTTACAACAATTCAACAACAATATTTTTACATTTTTATACACAGTTGCCGGGTTTTATTCCAGACTAATTTATATTATAGTTATATTAATTATAGAACTTAAACCTCAGTTGAACTAACCAATTGTGTGACTGAAATACTTGCTAGGTATATTCTACTCAAATGTTTGACATTGCAATTTATTTTTATTTATTCTATATGCAATATTTAAAAGGCAAACTGTGACACGTTAAAGAGTAGAAAATAAATAACAGTTTAAATTATTATTAAATCATTTTTAAAGGTCTGGAGCAAAGACCTGCCAGTGTGTGGGTATTTGGAGCAGTCCTTGTACAGATCCATCTTCAGAAGACAGGACAAAAGCATCTGGAAATTCCTGTAGCCACATCCCCAGCCCTTATCTCCAGCAGAAGAGTGGTAATGATCGGTTTCAGCACAAAGCCACACATGTACAGTGTCTCTTCTTTCTCTGTGATAGTATTAATATAATATTCCAATTACACCTACACAAAGAATAATATTTCACAGAACCCTGGCATCATGTATCCCAGTACAAATTACCCACTTGACTGTGCATATGCAAATTCTTAAAAGTCTTTTAAACCGATTGAGCACATTGAATCCTTACCTTAATATACATTCTATGACTTGTTTTCAAGGATGAGACTGAATTTAAATTTTAAGAAGTTCAAGCAAGGGCAGAAGAGTGGCACAGTGTTTACTATTTCTGCCTCAAAGTCCCTGGGTTCTATTCTGGACCTGGGGTGCTATCTGCATGGAGTTTGCATGTTCTCCCCATGTTGGGTCCTCTGAGTGTTCCGTTTTCCTCCCACAGTCCATAAACATACTAGTAGCTTGACTGGCTTCTTGGAAATAGGCCTTAGCTGTGTGGGCCAGTATTTATGTCTGTTTGTTTGCCCTGCAATGGACTGGCATCCCATCCAGGAAGTACCCTGCTTTGTGCCCATTGCTTGCCAGGATAGGGTACTGTTCTGCCTGAGCCTGTATTGGAAATAGCAGTTAGAAAATAGATGGAAAGTTCAAATGATGGACTGGCATCCTGTCTAGGGTTGATTCTGTCTAGTGCCCACTGTCTGCCAGGTTAGGTTCTGGCTCGCCAGTCCTTCAGTGAACTAAGTGCTTATTGAACTTGGACGACCTGCTCTTGAAATAGGATATGCATTGTGAAGAGGGACAACATTAAGAAATAGTCATTCATCAAGCAAAGCTTTTTAAAAAGTCAAACAAAGGGTAGTGCACAATTCCTAAAGATTGTATTCATATTTTTATATTAATTGAGTTGTTTCATTTGTGCACCTATAATCAGAAATTAAAGAAATGTTACAATTTGTCGCTAGCAATATTTATTTTATTAAACTTAATTCAGCAAAACTTTGAAAAGTACCCTTCCCTTTCGTGTCCAATTTTGAGAAACTACAAAATGCGGAACCAACAGGCTGGACACGAGGAGCCGGAAATTCCTGTTCAAGATCAGCAAGCTCTTCGTCGGAGCAGTAGGTATGAAGAGGCACCTCATGCGAAAATAAGAGAGAGAAGAGGCCTCCTTTCATACAGATTTGAGTTTTGTATGTGAGGAAGAAACGTCGGGAATGATTACAAATTTCTGACAGCCGAGGCTGATTGGGCTTGGCTGCCGTCATCCCTCCCTTTTCTTTATACAGTCCATTTAAATTTGGATGAATAATGAAGGATTAAAAGGTTCACGCGTATTTTTTTCCCCCTCATGTGTGAGATCTGCGTGAGGTACGTAAACGAAATATCAATTACCAGTGTAAAATAACATTGAAATTGCTACCGTAATTATTTAGGAAAAATAGGGAACTTCGTTAAATGTCTTAAATATTAAGTGTTACTCTTTTTTTACCATAATGAGAATGTAAACGAATATTCAGATATTTTAATGGTGAGAAGAAGATATGCATCCACGCATAAGGAGCAACGTAACCGAAATTATATTAGTTACAGAGTGTTCAATGTGATATATTTTACTGAGTTTCTGTTTCGCTAGGATGGAAGATACAAAAGACTGTCAGCCTCCCATGACTTTTAAATACCAAGGATTTAATTTTATTTCTGGTGTGCATGATCAGAAATATCTGGATTCTCTAGAGACATTTGATATCCGAGAAACTGATATTATTGCCGTGACTTATCCTAAATCAGGTAAAGATACCGTTTACTAATCCTATGTTACGACAAAAGATTATTTATTATTTTCATTATTCACAAAAAAAGAAATATATATGCCATCTCGACATTGAAGAGAGATTTTGCATTAAAAACAGGTTTGGGGAATTTGATTCAAAATTAACAAATGGTGCAAATTTTGTATCGGAGCAAAAAGGCATTGAACATAGTCATAAGAGTGTATGATGCAAAATCATTTGCAGTTCAAATGAGTAGAGGGGTGATTTGAATTAGTTTGCTTTATTCTTTTAACTTGGTTGTTTGACTGAATGAAAAGTGATATTTATATTCCACCTCTGTGTACAAGTGGACAAGATTAGATTAGGATTTAGCCTCCTCTGAATGTTTGTTTAAAGTTTCTTGAACGTTTTTCTATAAACTGTTTCAAACACAGGCACTACATGGTTGCAGTACCTCCTATCTCTACTGTATTACAGTAATGAGGTAGAGGGAGAAGATGCCAAAATGACAATTGAGGTTGTTCCCTGGATTGAAGTACACAT